TCATTGCCTGATTCTAAGTATGAGATTCTACCAAATATTAGCCATAAAAAGCAGTTTAAAATATATTTATGCTTCCCTGCGCCTTTCCTTATACTCCTTGAAGTAATGTGGTATAGGCACAGAACTGAAGATTTGGTGTCACAAAGAATGTTGTGGAAATTTATAGGCTTTGGTTTATAGAGGCTTGAAGACGTTTTTCCATCTTTCTGGTATTTTATTCCTGTCATTTCGCATTGCTTCTTTTCTTTCCTTCTCCTCCTCCGCCAGGTTTGGTTTTAAGCTTCAGATTCAAAGAAACCCCAAAGTCAAAACAAAATGGTCAGAACTGCTGACTCTTGTTTTGTAATCTTTTTTTAGTCCAGTATTCACAGGAAGAGAGGGTGCTGACCAGAAATTGGGCCTCGCTTCACCCAAAACGTTGGCAAAGTTCAGGAACCTTTGAGTGAACTTGTGCCAAGTTAATGATATATAGCAAAATTTCACCAATTTTCCAAAAACGTTTAAAATATAATTTAATGAAATCATATCACCCTCTACAAAGACGAGTTAGTACTTAACATTCAGTATTCACTTGTAAGCTCTTTTTTGACAAGAATAAAATATTAGTAATTTATGGTTTGTCTTAAATGGATTCTCTGGCTTTTTTAGAGTTACAGGTATGTTTTGGAATTGTACCTGTCAGTGTATTTGGGGGTTCATTACCTTTGAAGCCGTCTTTGAAGATTTGTAATTAAGAAAAAAAAGTTACCCTAAAATCTCACTGATTGAGTTTCATCTGAGAATTTTTATAGGTATATTATAAACCTTCCACGAGAGTGTTTTTATAATGGAAATGCTGACAAATATGATAATAAACACTGATCCAAGGGACTTGATTGCATGTTCATGTGGGAATTACGCTACTAGCAGAATCGTGGGCTCAGTTTCCGACATTAATTTTGCCAATGTGAAAATCTGCTTTCACATTGGACAACTAATTATAAAAGATGGTCCACTTCAGTGGCTCCCTGTGGATGGCAAAGGTTTCTGATTATTTTTACGTTCTTCAGAAAGCTTAATGATGTCTTTCAAATATGATTTCATTTAGATCTTTTTATGGTTTATATGACTGAATAGTAATGGTAATCTGATAGTTATTCAGAAGTTAGCTTGACCAAAAAGCACTTTTCAGTCAGTAAAGAATTTATACATAAATTGCCTCCAAGCAACATCTAAAATGGTTTTTAGATTCTAAATGTCCAAGTAACTTTAAGATTTGAAAAACCAATGATTATAATTTGCCAGAAGTAACTGACACCATCAGAAATTTAGGGCTGGTAGAAGTTATTGAAAGGCCAACATTCATTTGTATTTCTATCAACGTTAGTTTAGAAGGAAATAAAGAGTAAAACAATTTTAATATTTTGTGTATATTTGGAAAAATCTTGTATTCAAAATACACTGATTTTATGGATCTAGCATGGGTAAAATGAAATTAAAACTAAAAAAACATTGCTTAGAAAAGTTGGGTATCATACTATAGAGGTACGCTGGACATAAGTCCAGGATATGGGTCCTTTTATCTTATCTCTAGGAATAATCTGGTGTAAAGGAAAGTCAGTTCTCTCTCAGTCAGTCTCTGATTCTTATTTGGTTTCAAATTATTCTATTAGTATAACGATTATGAAAGACTGCATTTGGGGACAGCATTTAAATATGCAAAAACTTACAAAGAACAAACATTTATAAACTGTGACAGCTTTAAAAATGATGGATACAATTTTTCTTAAATAATAAAGAAATAATTTTTCATTTAGAACTTATTTAGGTATTATTTGTTGTATTGAAGAGGTGTGAGGCACTCACTATGAAAATATTACATGGGGGTGCCTTCAGCTCAGTGGTTAGGGCGCTGACCACATGAACTGGGGCCAGTGGGTTCAAATCCAACCTGGGCCTGCTAAACAAACAAACAAAAATAGCAAGCGTTGTGGCAGCTACTTGGGAGGTGGAGGCAAGAGGATCACCTGAACTCAAGAGTTTGAGGTTGCTGTGAGCTGTGATGCCAGGACACTCTACTGAAGGTGACAAAAGTGAAACTCTGTCTCAAAAAAAAAAAAAATTCTTATTAAGAGCATCATAGAATGGGTTAAGGATGGTGGGTGGCTACATTTATTCTTCAGGACCCAATGATGTTGACTGTCCCTGGTCTATAAAGTTTTGTTTTGTTTTTGGTTTCCAAAACTGGTCCTTTCAACAAAATATTAAGGACCCCTAGATTTGAGCCATTTTTTCTTTTTATTAATATTTATTCAACACCCACAGATTTTTAAAAAGTGGTATTTAGTTTCAAGGAGAACTTGGTTTGGAAGAAGGAAGAGAGCTCCTGAGAGCAGTTTCAATTTTCAACCCATGCACACTATCTGTAAAAAGTCAACACATATTTTGATTGGATGAATGAATAATTGAATAGATAAACATATGTGACTGATGGAGCTGCTAGCATCTAATACAGAGCTGGGAAACAATATGATGAGTTGAGAAAGAATTAGCTGTTTTTCATGTATCAAAATGAGTAATTTTAAATTTATCTTAAAAAATACAGATAATGCTAGTCTAAGTAACCACTAAGTTGTCTAGGAAAAAAAAGGGAAAAAGAATGAAATGTTGAGAAATTTTACTTTATGTAACTGACGTAGATGTCACGGTTTTAGTCTCATTTTATATTAATAGACGTGCTGGGGATAAGTAAAAACACTAGTTTTGTTGTTGTTTGATCTTAGCTGTTTACATTTCCCCTCTTACCTGTTTATCCTAATGTTCTTACAGCAGAGGTGGAAAAAATCTTGGCAAAAAGGCAGAGTCAAAATAAGAAAGCATCTTGGGAGTGGGGGTTGATTTTAGAATTCATCAATTCCTGTGGAAAGGAGAACTAAGAGAAGTTTTAAATGTTTAATGTTTAATGAAGGCTCTAGGAGACAGGCCAATTCTGCAACACAAAATCCCCTGAGAAGAAGTGTGAATTGGCAGAACCTACCAAGAAGGAAATCTGGCCATTTCTATGCACGCATTTAAATGCGTATTTTATCCAGAGATTTCATTTCTAGGTATCTAACATCAGGAAATCAATAATAGAGAAGAATTTTACGAGAACTCTTTGAAGCATCATTTATTATTCAAAATGGAAATATATATTAGCTATCCACCTCTAAAGGATTGGGGTGAAGTTGTAATACCTCAATATGACAAATAAAATATAGTAATCAATATTGAGTTTGAATAATGAAAGATAAAAGTGCTCATTCTATAGTGTTGAATGAAAAGAAATCAATATCCAAAAGTGTCCCAAATGTGTTAAACATGTTGAATTTATGACTGCATAGAAAAAAGACTAGAAGGAAATAGGTTAAAATGCTAACAGTATGGTAAAGTGGGTTGATTTAATTTTTTTCTTTTCCTTTGAACTTTTGTTTTCCAAACTTTCTAGGGGTATGTATGAAAAGAATCCTTTTTCTAAAAACTTGATAGGAACATTGTGTGTTCACATGCCCTGGGAATATCGGTGTACAACCAGGGGCAAAATAAAGTGTTGGAATAATCACTGGGGATTATCCTTTAGGTCTTTACCTTTACGTGAGCCTTATTCATTCAAGTTCTTCTCACATACGGAGTGCTAACGACCCCAATTCAGGTACTAGCAAGTCGCAGAGAAGGAAGAATTGTGGACTAGCAGAGGACCCAAACTGGAGGCCGTTTCTCATCATGGACCCACTTCAACCTCATCCCCAGCGCTGGCTTTTTGCTAAGTGTTAGAAGGCATCTTCTCTTGACTTTTTGCCTCCCTTTGTAGTCCCTTGATGGCATTAGAATGAAAGCTGTCCAGTGGAGAGGGGGTTCAGTAAGATGCACCTAAGGGCGTGGGGGTGTATGGCACACTTCTGGGTGAAGGACTCAACTGCAACGCGGACTTTGCCTTACATTCTCAATCACAATGTAACCTAATTGTAGGTCCCCTCAGATTTATCAAAAAATAAAAATAAAAAGGCAAGAAAGCTGTTTTCTCTATAGCTAAAAATTTTAAAGCGCACCCCCAGGAGTTCAGTGAAAGATCCAGGCTACAGTTGGCAGCGCCAGTGGCTGCGAAGTCCCGGGCCATCCAAGGTCCCCCGCAGGTCGAGGAGGGCTCAGAACGTTTGGCCCAGAGGCTCCTGCCTCTCACCCCTCACTCTAGCCTGTTGTTGATTTTGACACTGGGGACTAAGCGCCGATTTGCACTCAACCTAAGGCACTATAAACACCACTATGGGCCTGGGTAGACAGCTTTGGTCCCTCTGAGATCTAGGAGGACAGAGAGAGGTATAGACTGGGTAGCCGTGCGCGCGGGAGAAGAGAGAACCGGAGGGGAGGAAGAGAGAGATCAAGATAGAAATAATGCCCCTTTCTCAGAGTTCTCACTTTTTCATCAGATCCGCTGGACCTCTCTTCCTTGGACTGGGACCAGACTGCAGCTCCGGAGTCTCTCGGCCTATCAGAAAAGCCGGCAGTCCCGCACCTCTCCCTGCGGTCCGCCGCAGCTCCTCCCCACCGGCGCCGGCTGGAGCCCCTGCTGGGGAAGGTGCGGCACTGACCAAAGGGTGAAAAAAAAGGTAAGAATTTGTACTTTATTATTTCTATTACAGGAAAAAGATAAGGAAGAGAGATCTATAGCAGGTCTAAATCCTGCCGTGTGAGGATTAGCTTCCCACCCACCCGGGCGGCAGGAGCCCAGGGCTCCAGCCTAGAAGTCTGCTAGTTCTAACTTGCCTCTCTCGCCCTGACCCTGACTCCAGGGCATCCATATTAACTTTACAGCTGCCACTCTTCTCGGGGGTTATGGTAATTTTCAGTCTGAACCCCAGCTCCAGATATTTGATTTGGGGCATCATCCCTCTGGCCTTTCAGCTGCACCCACTGCCAGATACTGAACACCCCGGTCCAGCGCGCAAGCAGGAGAGGGCAGACGCCTTTCTTCCCACCCTGGCTCAGCCAGATTTTTTCTTCTCACAGCTCTCCAAGAGCTCAGTCATGAAGGAGATGTAGACGATGGCCAGGCGTAGGGTCTCGATCCGGGACAGCCTCTTCTCATAAGCAAAAGTGGGCACCTTCCTCCGCAGTTGGTCAAAGGCCTCGTTGAGGTTGAACATCCGCTTCCTCTCGCGGATGTTGGCGGCCTGGCGCTGGGCATAGGTGATCACCCTTTTCCTCTTGGGGCGGCCCAGCAGAGAGGCACCTCTCCCGCGCTCCTCTTCCTCCTCCTCCTCCTCATCCCCTTCGTCTAATTCCCCCTCTTCTTCTGGGCACCCCTCCTCAAATCGCGCCATCCTCCTGGGTCTTCTCTCTCTGAGAGTAAGGGCTCCGGCTCGGCCCCCAAAGGGGGCACCAGGCATGAAGTCGCAAAGGAGCGGGTGTCTCGGGGAGGCCAGGGACAGGTCTGCGACGAAGTCCAGCACGGTGGCATCCCCGCAGCCCTGTGGATAGGCGGCCATCGCTTCGGCTTGGCCCTGTGTCTCATCGATTTCCCGCAGGGAGGGGCGAGCCTGCTGACCGGACTCTTAACAGCCTTGAATCAGATGGGGCACCATCGCCGAAGCTCCAGGGGACATTAATTATTTATATCCAAGTTCATCACTGGATTAGTTCCCCTGATAAGGTCGGCTTGGACAGTGTCCCTCCTCTCCAAGCTGATGGAAGAAGGCAGGCTTTCGTACTCATGCAGACCCAGAGGGACAGGACTCCACTTCCGAGATCCTTTTCTCTGCGCCACCGGGGACAGTTCCTTCTTGGCAGCAGCCCCCAGCGCTTACCTGCTGTGCTTTTTGTGTCTCTTCTCACCCCTGCAGCCAGCTAATGTTCTTCAGGGTCCTTAGCTCATGTAGGTCTTTAATTTAGACTTGGAGTTTCAAAGCGAGGATGTTTTCCACCACAACGCCTTCTCCTTGGCTTCGGAGTAGGAGTCTTGAATCTTGCCACCAGCTGCCAATGGATGTGAAGCAAGTGCATGCGCTTTTAATGATGTCCTGAAGAGGGGCCCTGCCTGCCAGGGGTCGAGGGGATCTGTTTGTCCGGTATCCCAGTGCAGCGGCTGCTGAAAGGCAAGACCTTCCATTAGCTTAAGTAAGCATGGCAGGGGGGCTAAGAGCGCATTCCCCAGGGTCGCTGTTGGAAGCCGCTTTCTTTTTCCTTGCAGGACATCTCAAACAGCTCTCCTGCCGAGTTACAAACCACACTTCTAAAGTCTGTTTGGATGCCATCAGCCTAACAATTGAGATACTTGACTTTCCTTTTCTTATCCTTATCGCCTACTTATGGTAAATAGAGAATTTTATTCCAGAGAAATAAGGGAGATAAAATGAAAAATGGAAGCTTAGAACATCTTCTCCACGTGGACTTTGTTGTAAACTTTCCAGGTGGAGACAAAGTAACCCCTCCTCCCCCACCAAATAAAAATACTTCAATTTCCTTTCACAATTGTGATTTATCCTTGATAAACGAAAGGGTCCAGCAGTTTACCCTCTGCTAAGGAGTCTTTGGATTTTAAAACTGCTCATAAACTATTTGTGGACAAAGAAAAATCCTGACACTTCTATCTGGCTGATTTCCCTCACTGATTTATACTACAGTAGGGTTTAAGAGCAGAAACTGTACATTATTAAATTCTAGTTAAGGATGATTTTGTCTGTCTTTAGGTGTTTTGTTTGTTTGTGTGTTTATTTGACAGAGTCTTGCTTTGTCGCCCTGGGGTTGAGTGCCAGTGATCATAGCTCACGGCAACCTCAAACTCTGGGGCTCCAGCGATCCTCTTGTCTCAGTTTACACAGTAGCTGGGTCTACACGTGGCCACCACATCGCCCAGCTAATTTTTCTATTTTTAATTTACACGGGGGTCTCTCTCTTGCCCAGGACTCCTACTCCTGACCTCAAGCAATCCACCCTCCTCACCCTCCCAGAATGCTTGGATTACAGGCATGAGCCACTGCCCCTGGCTTATCTTTAGATCATTTTCTGAAATAAGAAATATTTTAAATTTGACTTAACAAATAAAATTTCACTGATTTTATATTATCTGCAATGTTTTAATGTTCTTTTTCCTTCTTTGCTGCTAATTGTATTTACTCAGTTATTCTGTATTGTATATAGATGTTTTTAAAGACCTGGTGGGGAAAAGCTTCATGTCAGAAAATAATTTTAAAGGTAGATTAGAAGAAATAGACTAAATATGTGAGTATAGAGACATTCTAGTTCAAAAGAGAACCTTGACATCAACCCCTATTAAATGGGGTACACTGTGGCTATGACGGTACCCTCAGTACATTGGACAGCTCCCAGAAACCTTCTGTTTCTAACAGGTAAGGCCAATTCCTTCCTTCTTCCTAGCCTCCCAGGGAGTATCTAAGCTGTATAACCTTGAATCTTTCTTCTTTTAACCCATTAGTCTCTGGAGACTCCCTCTATTGATCTTTTCTTCATTAATATATTTTTCTTCTTTTGTGTGTGTTTACTCTTCGTTTTCCAACTTATTGTGATAACTCAGACAGAGAAGAAATGAACTTTGTGTTCCTGAAAGATGTTCATGAGAATTAGGTCTTTGGTTCTGATCATTTGATTTCAACTAAACATGTCACAAAGGGATGGCTGAAAAATAAAAATGAATAGGAATGTCGACAGTGTCTAAGGAACCAGTAAATGGGAGGAATGACTTTGTTTTGACTAGCAGTGACATGCTTTCTAAATTCTGTTTAACTTCATGTGTTATTAAACACTTGGGCAGATTTTGTAGTAGATTTTAAAATTATGTTATGTGTTTCTTGGTGACTTTCTCCCCCTTTAAAATCTATCTGCAAGTGGATGAAATACCATAGTTGAGGTAGAATCTTGGACCACAACGAAATACTTAATGATGCTTAAAGAAGGAAAATGTGGTTGATATTTAAGTTTCAAGTTTCACAAAACAGGGGACAGATGCTAAAGAAACAATTTTATCATACCCAAAGTATGTGATTTTAGCCAAGAGAATGAGTATTTCAACATTTATATCACAAAAAAAAAAAAAAAACCCTGTAGCAATATTAATGGAACCAGCACCCAGGAGTGAGTTGAAATATTAGTGTTAAAATATTAGAAATTAAACAGGTGTCTGAACAAGTACACCTCTAGTGATAATATAAAGATGCCTTCTTCTTTGGCTTATCAAAAATTCCAAGATAAATGTTTGTTTATACAACAGTAATTTCAGTTTATCTTCTAAGATTCTAAATTTATGAGGTTCTGAGTGATTTACAAGAGCTCATCTTATTGTAAGGAACCATTATTTTCATTTCTAGACTGGAAAGTTAAGAAAAAAACATTTTTAAAGAACTCAACTGAGGATTAGAGGATGCTAAATTCAACCTTGATTCCTTTGGATTTTAGCCTTACAATTATTCAGTGACCTATAGGTTTTTAAAAAGAATTTGATAAACACTGCACAAATTTTGCTTAAACTGTTTCAAGACATGATCATAAAATAATCATCAGTTTTGCTTATTTGATTATCTACTTTATTTCTATTGGCCATCCCTATTAAACTCTAAATATTTTGTTTATACTATTATGTTCAGAATCAAAACAAAAAGCACAAATGACCAAGAATAATTTGAGGAACCATTCTAAAAAGGCCTGAGTGGAGGCTGGGATTAAGAGTGGTAAGGAGATAAAGTAGTATCCATGGAGTAAAGCAAATAGCTAACTTTCTCAAGTTTTTCATACCTTTTCCTCTCCTTTTCAGGCTATTTCCCTTATTTTTATCAAAACATAATGTACTTTTAGGGCAAATGATAGAAGTATGATAAAGGTGTAGGTATGATTGCTGGAGAAAGGCCTAAGAAGGACTCCTTCTGCTGACATGGAGAAAGGCCTTATATTCTCTTCCTATTAAATTTCAAATTACGTATGCCTGCAGCCATGGCTGATGTTGGAGCTAACAGAATATATCCATCTCTTTTATTGTTTCATTTTATATTTTGGGTAAACCTTTGGCAGTTTACTACATACACTTACAATCGTATATGTACAGCTTCATGAGTTTTCATAAAGTGAATATACCCACGAAACCAAGTGGCAAAATCAAGGCGTAGAATGCTTTATTCAAGTTTGAAATCACGTAGATGCAGTTTTAAGTGTGTAGCTTGAGAATATTTCACAAAATGAATACACCCAGATAGCCAGCACTCAAATCTAGAGGCAGAACATTACAAGCATCCTAGAGGACTAGAAGGCCTGCCCTGCCAGTCTTGTGCCCATGTCCAGTCACTCACCATTCCTCCAGGAATCACTATCTGACTTCTAAGATTGATTTTGCCAATTTTTGAACATTACATAAAAATAAATCACATTCTTTTTACTGGTCTACATCTTTCACTCAACATTTTATTTATGGGATTCATGCATATAATTCTCTTTGTTGAGCATATTTATTAATTCCTGCTCAGCATATGCCTAGAACTCGAATAGGACATACATATATTCAGCTTTAGTGGTTATGATTAAATTGTTTTCCAGAACGCTTGTAAAAATTCACACTGTCATTAGCTGATGTATTGGAATTCTAGTTTCTTCACATTCTTGTCAATACTAATTTTCTACCTTTTAAATTTAATCTATCCTGAAGATGTGCATGGGCATCACATAGCAGTTTTAATTTGCATTTCTTTGATGACACATGAAGTTGAACATGATTTCTTATTGGCTAATTAGGTACTGGCGCCTTAGTGAAGTGCTTAACTGTTTTTCTGATGTTTCTAATTTTAAAAAACTGATTTGTATAAATATTCTGGATTTGAGTCCTATGTCAGATATATGTATGTATTGCAAATATCTCTGTATGTTATATTTAAAATATTCATTTATATTTTCACCCACTTTTTATGGTGGTAAAATATATGTAACATAAAATCTACCACTTTAGCCATTTTTAAGTCTACAATTCAGTGGTATTAAATGTATTTATAATGTTGTACAATCCTCCCTGCCATCCTTCTCCAGAACTCTTTCTCTTGTAAAATGGAAACTTTATATTCATTAATCAATAACTCTCTCCTCTATCCCCACCCCCAGCCCTAGGCAACCACTGTTCTTCTTTTTGTTTGTATAAATTTGACTATGCATAATTAGAATTGTGCAATATTCTTTTTGTGACTGCCTTATTTCACTTGGCATAATGTCCTGAAGTGTCATCCATGTTATAGCATGTATCTTTTTAAGACTGAATAATATCCCCTTGTATATGTATACACATTTTGCTTATCCATTCATCTTGTGATGGACCCTTGAGTTACTCCTTTATTTTAGCTATTTAAATAATGCAGCTGTGAACATCAGTATACAAATACTTCCAGACCCTGGTTTCGATTCTTTTGAGCGTGTATCCAGGTTTAAATATTGCTGTTTCTTTTTTTCAAAGAACTTAGTTGTATAGAAAGTTTCTCTGGTTTAGCCTATTTACTATGCA